ATGGAGTTTCTTGAATGCAGCCTTACTTGATTACAGCTAAATTAATGTAGCCCCTCAAAATAAAAATGTTCCCCATCCCTGCCTTAGACTATATAGGTAGGCTAGGCATCCTCAAACTACGGCCTGTGGGCCACATGCAGGCCACCTAGCACATTTATCTGGCCCTCCAGGTGTTTTTGGCATGGCTGCCTGTCCTGCTTAGCAGCCGATTTGTCCGGGGCCCACAGTGCTCACTCTCCAACGGTCTGAGGGACAGTGAACTGGCCCCCTGTTTAAAAAGTTTGAGGACCCCTGATATAGGCCAAAGAACCTGGACTGAGGAAACAAGGACAGATCTGCCTGGCTTTGTCTCATGACACAGAGCTATCACCTACCTGAAAGGAGGCAGGAAGACAGCTGGAGAGTGGGATGGGGATGGTGATACTTTTTTTTTTTTTGAGACAGAGTCTCGCTTTGTTGCCCAGGCTAGAGTGAGTGCCGTGGTGTCAGCCTAGCTCACAGCAACCTCAAACTCCTGGGCTCAAGCAATCCTTCTGCCTCAGCCTCCCGAGTAGCTGGGACTACAGGCATGCGCCACGAAGCCCGGCTAATTTTTTTCTATATATATTAGTTGGCCAATTAATTTTTTTTTTATTTATAGTAGAGACGGGGTCTCGCTCTTGCTCAGGCTGGTTTCGAACTCCTGACCTTTAGCAATCTGCCCGCCTCAGCCTCCCAGAGTGCTAGGATTACAGGCGTGAGCCACCGTGCCTGGCCTTGGTGATACTTTTTGACATAACTTGAAAATTATCATCTCCTCAACTTGTATATGCAGTTAGAGATCCCAGCTCCCAGAAGACAGGGGGCAGGAGAAGAGTCTGACAGTGGGCACACTGTTTGGGTAATGTCCCCAAAAGTAATGCCCTGAAGGTAAGTAGATAGATCTGGTAACTGCACACTGGGGTTCTTTTAGCCTGTCAAAGAACCAGGTAGCCAAAAGAGAAGAAAATGGAACTAGGTCAATCAGGTTCAATAGTCTATAGGCCAACTTAATGCCTAAAAGCCACCTCAGTGAGTTGTGTGCATCAACCTGACCTCAAGCTACAGACTTGGGAAGGAACTGGGAAGGAATTAACTAGGAAACAGTACCCAAGGCCAGGAGATGGCCCCACACTCTGTGTGGGCAGATCTTTCATTGCCTGTACTCGGAGGAATAGTATGTAGCTGGTAATGATTTCATATAAAACTATTTTAGAAAAGTTCTATCTATTCAGAAAGATTCAGGGAAAGGGTGGTTTCTGTGAACAGATGTGTAGAAAACCAAAAGAAGAAATGAAAGACATTGGGATGACAGAAAAGGAAAAGATGAGTGGTAAAAGGACAATTGATTAGGGTAATTAGGTCTTGACCTCAAGTAGATCTGGGTTTGAATTCTAGCTCTTCTGTTTGCTAGATGTGTGGCTTTGTGTCAATCACTCAACTTCTTTAAGTGGTTAAAGAAGTTTGCATTTCTTCATCACTAAATGGGGATCAAGAAACCTATCTTGCAAGGTTACTCTGAGCTTTAATGCTTAGAACATGCGCGATAAAGTATAGGAAAAGCACCAGAACAGGGTCTGAGCAGGCAGTCAGTATTTAATAAACAGTGGTCATTATCATACCAACAAGCCTAGAAGAAAAAGGAACTGATGGAGGCCAAGAAAGGACTGCAAAAAAACTAAAAACACAATCTTAAATATACACTAGTCTACACTGCAGAACTAAAGAGTAGAACTAAAGCTACAGAAATGTCTAACTGGTAATGCAGAAGAGCTCCAAAACGCCGAGAAAAAAGACTAACAGCTGAAATGGATGAGAGAAAAGCCGAATCAGTGAGTCGACCTATTAATTAAAGACATTTTTGGAATATAAATCAAGCAGAACAAAAGCAATAAGCTTAAGTGCAAACAAGGAAAACTTCCTGGAGTGAATAATAATCTCAGCATGCAGTTAAAGGACTCACTAAATTTCAGACAAAATTAATTTAAAAACATTTTAAAGACTCACACATACATATAATTCAGCAAAAAACGTAAACTATGGAGATAATTGTTTTAAGTGCCTCCAAAAACAGTTCCAGGGACCCCCTTGGCCAGAGGGATCTTTCAAACATTCCGCAAGCTGTTTCAGAGCATAGAAAAAGATGGAAAAACCATCCAAATTATTTTATGATGTGAATATAACCAAAACAACAAAATCTGACAGAGAAATCACTAACCCCACTTTCATTTCTGAATTGATCTGAAATCCTAAATAAAACCTTACCAAACTGAATTCAATGGGTAATAAAAATATATACCCATGATCAAGTTGAATTTAGTCCAAGAAAACAAAGATGGTCCAAGATTAGTATCATCTACTAACATAACATAGTATCAGAATATAAGACAACCCTATTATAAGGTAATCCCTGAATCTCCAAATATTATTTCTGCCAACTTGAATAAATAAAACATTATAGATGTTTATGAGTCAACTGTTTTCAAATATAATTATGCATACACATTGAAATAACATAATAAAATACTGACTTTAAATATTTTTCCATTCTCACAATCATGAAAAAATTTATTCCACTTCTTCCCATGAGTTCTTGACATCAATATCTTTGTTGTCACAAGGGCCACTTCTTCAACAGTTTTGCAGAGCTACCATCTTCACTTCTGTTTGAGCATTTTTTAGCCCCAGTATGATACATTAATCCATATATGCTTTCATTTCAAGAAATCATTTGTCCTGAAATTGTGTAACTGTGATCTCTACAACAAAGGCTTGTTTTATAAACTTATGATTTCTCATTCTTGCAACTGTGAGGTCATTTCTCAGGAATAATTACTAAATCAGTGTTAAATGTCCTGGCCTCCTTTTTTTATTGATTCTTTCTAGAGACCTCTATAGGCATTCCAAACCTATAAACTGATCAAAATGCTACACTAGGCTCTTCAAAATAATGTAAATTGAAAAGGACTCCTAGGATATGAGTGATCTTGTCAGAAAAGTATAAGAAGATATCTCCCTCTTTTCTGAAGGGTAAGTTTTTTGGGGGGAAACAAATTTTATCTTATATCTAATCTTTTTTCACAGCAGGGCATACTTAGAAAAAAATAGCATTAGGATAGCCCTAAAACAACTGAATAAGGCTGCTCAGGGTAGACACTATTTCCGGACATGCCCAGAGTCTCCTCAGTAGATCAACATTGCAGACACCATGGGGAAATCTCTGCTGTATCATGAGACCCAAAAAGATCGTAAGATCATCATCTCAGAGACAGGATACTGATGAAGCCCAAACGCTGAAGCCTGGCTCTGCCTGGGGCTGCGTGACCTTGGGCAAGTTACTTAGTGTCTTTGTGCTTCTGTCCTCACACCTGCAACGTGAGATAATAACAGTCCTCAGAGAATTAGTTATCGTGAGGATTAACTGAACTAATCCATGTAAAGCACTTAGAACTGTGCCCTGTACATAGCAGGTGCTCAATAGATGCTAGATGCAATAACCATGCTTTATTAAAAGCAAAGCAAAACAACTCTTAAAAAAACAAAACAAAAAAAAACTGAGTAGAATACCAAGATTAATTCCTCAACACCTCAACATGTCACCTCATCCCTCCACAGTCACTTTACAGTAACACTCACCAGATGACAAGCTCTGACCTCACACTTGGGGTTTCCAATCAAATTTTTAGATTTTTAGCCAAGGGCCACTGTGGGTTTGAGAAAACTACCCTCAGGAAAGACCAACCAAAACAAAGACACAAACAAAAAAGAGCTCAAAGGAAAGAGAGACCGTGTTGAGAATATAGGCATATTTAAAAAAAAAAAAAATAAGTATGTGCATACATATGTATGTATATGTATATATACACATACATATGCACACATATAAAATTAATGGTTAGGAGCACAGGCTTTGGAAAAACAAGTTATTACATCTATAGAATAAAAAGAGGACTTTACAAAAAAGGAATTATCAGAAAACAAGACAGAGTTCTTGGTAATTAAAACATGGTGGTTGAAATAAATTCAATAGAAAGTTTACAAAACAATGATAAGGAAATTTCCCAAATAATAGAAGGAAAATAAAGAAAACAGGAAATGAAAAAAACTAAGAAAATTAGAGGATTGATTTAATACTAAAATAACAGGACTTCTGCAAAGAGAGAATAGGAGAAAGGTGTGATGAAGGGCTGAACAATTCCAAAGTAAATAATACAAGGAAATTTCCCATAACAATTTGAAAGTGCTCTCTGAATACTCAGGACAATGAATAAACAAAGATCTATACCGAAAGTACATCGTGGTATAATTTTAGAAAACTGTGTCTAATAAGAGGGAAAAGAATCACCTATATAACAGATTAGGAGTCAGAATGGCATTGCCATAACAAAAATGATTTCCAAACGTTATCTCTGAGTCATGAAATTATGAGGGTTTTTTTCCCCTTCTTTTCTGAGTTTTCTATAATCAATATGTATGACTTTTATTCTCAAAAACCAGTTTTAATACAAAAAATGTCTAAACTTGGAGACTCAAGCCTAGATTTGAATGGCTCCATTTCTTAACTGTCTTCATAATGTCGCAGTTTGTCTATTTGCACTGACACAAAGACCCTCCTAGCCAGCAGAACTGTAGTCATGGAAGATGGCCAGGCTGTAGAGAGAGCTGAGGACAAGCCACTCCAGGGATTTGCCACCACGCGGCCCTGCTTATGAGTGATGTTCCCACATATTCACTAAGTTAGCAAATGCTTGTTTTCAAGCACACTCCCAGAATATTTTGATAACTGAAGGAAGAGAAGGGAAAGTCCATAATTCTTTTTCCTTAGACACATCTTTCTATCCATTATTATCATGTCTCCACTATTGCACTTAGCATTTATTTTAATAAGGAAATGCTAACTGCTCCAATCTGTCTTCATTCCATTTATTGAACACCATGTCCCAGGCTTTGCCAAGAGATGATTTTCCTATTGACAGGCTTACCTGTGGAGAAGATGAACACCGTGTTGTTCCAGAGCCCATGGCTTTTTAAGGCTGCAGTGACATTCCCCACTGCTTCATCCATAAGGGACACCATTCCTGCATAGTGGTGCCTGTTCTTGTTTTGGATAAAGTCGTATGGCTTCAGGTATTCCTCAGGCACCTGAAGGGGCTCGTGGACAGACTGGAGCGCGAGGTAGAGAAACAGAGGCTAGAAAGAAAGTTTGTGCAAATCAGTCGGGAAGGCATAGAAGCATTAAATGTAGAAGGATAAGAAGGTGCAAATTTATCAGTTAATAAAAATAATATCAAGATAACCTATAGAATGCATTGAAAATATCTGTGAATCATATGTGTGAAAAGGGACTAACATCCACAATATATAAAGAACTCTTACAACTCAGTAATAAAAGACAATTAACCCAACTACAAAATGGGCAAAGAATTTGAATAGATATTTCTCCATAAAAGATATAGAAATGTTCATAAGCACACAAAAAGATGGTCAACATCATTCATTGATAGGGAAATGCAAATTAAAACCACAGTGAGATAACACTTCACATCTGCTAGGATGATTAAAATTTAAGAAATGGAAAATAACAAGTGTTGGTGAAGATACAGAGAAATTGGAATTCTCTCTCACTCATTGCTAGTAGGAATGTAAAATGGTATATAGCCACTTTGAAAAAACAGTTTGGTAGTTCCTGAAATTGTTAAACATAGAGTTACCACATAACCCAGCATTTCCATTCCTAGAGAAATAGAAGCATATATCCACACAAAAACTGGTATGAATGTTCATTGCAACATTATTCATAACAGCCAAAAAGTACAAACAACTCAAATGTCCATCAAGTGATGAATGGGTAAATTGAAGAGCAATTTCCTATTGGAAACCCCACTATTACAATGTGGCTATGTACCAAGAGATGTTTTTGCTTTAACTGAAAATAAGTCCCCATCTTTTAGGAAAGGTTTAGGATTTTTTGACATATTTTATGAGAAAAACGAGTGAATACTATGCTATGTTAGTCTTTGATGTAGGACCAAATATATGACCAATTTAATTCCTGGAAACTAACTCCATTTCTTAGTTTCTAGAAACTAAGAAATATGACATGCTGATTCTATTTTCCCTCTTACATCGATTTACAGCATTTAACATTAGTGACAGCCCAGGTCAGCCTCTCCTTTTCCATGAGCCTTTCTGAAGGCTTCCTCTTCATTGTGCTCTTATAGAATTCTTTCATGAGCTGAAAACTCTCAAAGAGACAACTGGTCCAACCCAGGAATAAACACATATTTCTGTTAAAGTATTTGAGGCATTTAAATAAATGAATGGGAAAAAGTTAGAAACTGGGGTGTGGGGGCTCATATTTCACTCTTCATTGTTTATAAGTTATTTTAAATTATATATTATGCATGTCTTTGATAGAGTAAAGAGCATCCATCTATAGTGCTCAACTAGATGCCCAAAAGTTTATTTGTAGATTAGATCTTAGGAACTTAGAACTATGTTTTTCTCAAAATCAAAAAGTTAAAAGTAGCTGTTAAATATAAAGTCATCGCTTTCAAACCTATTTAACTAAGGAGGTAGGTGATGGAATGAAAACAATGATTATGGAGAACTTGTGCTTCATTTATACATTTTTTCCATGGGAAAACATCCCAAATTCCCACTCCAAAAGTCTACACTACAACTTTTAACACTATGTTAGTTCCGCCTCCACTTACTCCCGACACACACACTTTCTACTCCAGCCACACAAGTCACATGGGAACACTTCTGTGTCCCTGCAGCCCGTGGTGTCCCAGCAGACACCTGCCCGGGTGGTGAGGAAGGACCCATCTGAGACGTCTGCAGGGAAGGACATGCTGGGGCATCTGACCCAACAGACAGCGCCATGTGGGACTGTGCTGGGAGCAGCCATCAGGGTCTTCAGTACTAGGTCAGGCCAGCTCCAGCCCCAGCCAAGGTCCAGAAGGGGACAGGATTAAAAGTCAGAAGGCTACAACACTTTGCAGCCCACATGAACTTTTCAAAATCAGGAAATGTCACATAGAAATCTGTTTTTACACACATTTTCTAAAAAAAATAAGAATTTCTGACAACTCCATTTCTTAGTTTCTAGAAACTAAGAAATATGACATGCTGATTCTATTTTCCCTCTTACATCAATTGACAGCATTTAACATTAGTGATAGTCCAGGTCAGCCTCTCCTTTTTCATGAGCCTTTCTGAAGGCTTCCTCTTCATTGTGCTCCTATAGAATTCTTTAATGAGTTGAAAACCCATGTCCATACTCTATCTGATAACAAAAGGCTGGAGTATGAGAAACAGAGGCCCCAACCCCAACCACAGTCCAATTTTCTAGAATGTTCCCACTGTTCTATGTAAACTACTTCAATTACTCAGGTTAGCAGCCTGACCCTTGCAAACATGAGAGCTTGTGACCCCTGTCTGGACTCTCGACAGTGGGCAGAAAGGAAGGACGAGAGAAGGAGCCCATGGCTTAAGAAGAAGATGTTCTCATCCAGGTCATTAGCAGCAACATGGCAGCCCACGCAGTGGGGGAGAGAAAGTGAGAGAGGGCAGGTGGTTCCCAGCCAACAATTGATTCCTAACAGCAACGGCTGGGGAGGGTGATGGGAGAGAGTTCGAGTAACTGTGCCAGGGAAAAAACATTATTCTGGGACCATCAATAAAGAGTCCTATAAACATTCAGTATGGAAATCATGCACTCATTTTGTTAAATATAGCAAAAAGTAATCTGAAAATCTATCTGATAATTATTGCTTTTGTGGTCAAAGACATTACTATCACTCTGGAGGGGTTAAAAATATAAAATCACAGCAGTCCCCATCCAGTCCAGTAGTCAGACTTCTATCCATTCAAATATAGGGAGCATAAATGAGACAAGGAAGTGAAAAAAACCTCTGAGGGGTGAGGATCGGCCCGTCACAGGTCATGCAAAGGGCGTGTACTCCCTGCAGACCAGATCCTACTAACTTAGAAGTATAAAGATAGTCCTCGAACAAAAAAGTTTTCTTTTCTCCCATCTTATGGGCAGCGGCGGGCTATTCCGCGAGCGGCAGAGAGCCCCGCACACTCGGCTTGGCTGTGGGCCCCGGGAGGAGGCAGAATGATGAGCAGTGCAGCCCGTTTCGGGATGTGAGGACCGACACAACTCATTTTAGATATTTCCATCCCGCACTGCAAAAAATAAAGTTTTAACACTCAGAAGGTAGACCTTATTTGTGAAAGAACTCAATCCTCAGCAGTGCTGAATGGGAGGCATTTCTATACTATTTTTAAACTGGGGGGAAAAAAAGAGAGAGAGAGCAAGAGAGAAAGTAGTGTATTTAATGCTACATGGTGGCCCAGTGGAAAGAACAATTAACTAGGGCGCCAAGGATCTCCAACCACAGAGAAGACCACCACCTGCAGCCACTAGTCCTGGAACCTGCCTGGGAACAGCTGTGGCCAGTTCCCCAGTCCTGCCAACTAGAGCCCCAGCTCACCACCAGCTGAAAAAGCAAAGCAGCCGCCCCGCTGGGGCTGAGCTCGTTATTACGAGATGTCTACTGACGTGAGTTCCAGCTCTACCGTGCCTTGGCCTTTGGAGGCCTGCTGGTCCATCCACGCCAACCTACTGACAGCCTGATTTCCACACCGGAGTCCTGGGCCCGATGTCTCTGCCATCGGTCTCTGGGTTTAGGCTACAGCCTGATCTCCCTTTGCTTTTTCTTGGGTCCAGATCCCTGATCGACTCAGTCACAGCCTTATATCAACCCAAACTGTAACCCTTTCAGGTGTCCTAGGAATAAGAAATGGAATCCTAGATGTGAAATCGTGACCGAATGATTTCATAGAATTACATGAAAGAATTACATAAAAGTAAGACATCATTATGTAAGACTATTAGCATGTTCATGTTTAAGCTGCAGGGTTCTGTTCCCTTTCTTAGTATGCCATATGGCTCCTAAGATACATGCTCTAAATATCCTCACTGTGCTAAGAAACTTTATTTCAGTGAGGAAGAAAGCCTTATTTTTCATTTCTTACTATATTTTCCTAATTTAAAGCATAAATGGAAAAAAAAAGCATATAGTCAGTTTTGAAATTATTTTTTTCTCTTTGACTTCCAAATTAAGACATTTCTTCTCAAACTGTGTCAGGGAAAAATAAGAGTCTACCACTACAAATTAACATTTTCTTTAGGAAGCTTCTAGTAGATTAGGCATGTGAGATAACATTTGGTTTTATTCTGTGAAGTGCTATGGAGGGACTATTTTTAACAGGAAGGTATTTTATGAATATGTTGCTTCCACTTTGTAGTGCTTCTGCTATGGAGAATTACCCTGCAGAAAAAGAGAAAGGACCTGACCTCTTAACACATGTGAGAGAGGACATGCCTTCTTTTTTATTTTTTTTATTTTTTGAGACAGAATCTCACTCTATTGCCCGGGCTAGAGTATCGTGGCATCAGCCTAGCTCACAGCAAACTCAAACTCCTGTGCTCAAGCGATCCTACTGCCTCAGCCTCCCGAGTAGCTGGGACTACAGACATGTGCCACCATGTCCGGCTAATTTTTTCTATATATTTTTAGTTGTTCAGCTAATTTCTTTCTATTTTTAGTATAGATGGGGTCTCACTCTCACTCAGACTGTTCTTGAACTCCTGAGCACAAACCATCCTCCCGCCTTGGCCTCCCAGAGTGCTAGGATTACAGGCGTGAGCCACCGCGTCCGGCCAGGACATGCCTTCTTAACACATGTGAAATGGCTGTCAGCAGCATCTCCCCGAGTCCAGCATCAACATGTTTCAGTTACAAACTTCCTCCATAGGCTTCTTTCCCCTCCAGGGCTTTTTAAAATTGGCAAAATACTAAGTTGGCTTGTGGATGCTTCGTGTGCACTTCTCTAATGATTTTCATCTTAGAACAAGTTGTCTATGCTACAATCTATATATAGGACCTGAGAAATTAGCACAAAATTAAACACTAGGATAAAATGGTGAAAAGTGCAGCTCCTCAAACTGGTGAGATGCATCATTTTGTTGAGAACTGAAAATATAAACATCTGCCTGGCTATCTTCAACAAACATGCTTGGGTTACTACTTGACTAGTGACTGTTTCATTGGTTAATGGCTACGCTTGAAACTTCCCTTTGGGGATACTGGGAATTCTGCTGCAGAACGTTTCAGACTCTGCAGGGAAATGACCAGCCTCTCATCTGGCAATTTCCGAACTGTTACCCACACGCTGACACCACTCCTTCCACGGCTTGGAAGCTCTTAGGGCCTCCCCCTGTCCTCGGTTCCTGTGCTTTCCCGTCCACCAGGGTAACGCAGCCCACCCACAAAGAACTATTTCACCCCAGCTGCTTCCTCTTATCTGCTTAATGTTCCCGGAGCCCTGTAAGAGAATATTATATTGTCCCTTAATAGGAATGAGATTTTGTTTTTTGTTTTTTGTTTTTTTATGGGAAGCTTACAGTTGTTGCTTGATTAAAGCATTGTTGGACTGTGAGTCTGTAAAAGGTAGCTGGCTTCTGCTTGCCTCTGTGTTGTTGGAGGTCAGGAGTGCCTTGAATGGCCCATCGTGGAATGCTTCTAACTGCGCAGGGTGTCCACAGTGGCTGCATGTCAAGATCCCTGGGAGGCGTGGGGTTGGAGGCAAGGAAACACCAATGACTGGGTCCTACCTCACTCCAGTGGATCACAATATGTGGCATCACTATTTCTTACAAGTTTCCCAGATGATTTTAATATATGGTCAGGGCTGAAAGCACTAAGCCCAATCATGAGCTGGGACTCAGAGTCAGGGTTCGGATATTAGCTGTGGAGTAGGGAGGCCAATTAAGTGCATGAGGTCTAGAGTCAGACAGCAGGAGTTTGAATTCTGATTCTGACTCTCAGTAGATCTGTGACTTTGAACAAGCTACTTAACTTCTCTAAGCCAGTTTGCTTATGTGTGAAATGATGCCTCTCTTCGAGGATAACGCACAGTTCCCTCAAGACCTTACCTAGTTCTTTAAGTGTTAGGCTGCATCTATGAAATGCCAAGTATCTAGAAGAAAACTGAGAATTTAAGCCAATTGCCTAACAGCTATCTTTCTAACTATCCGTATGTTTGTTTAGATCTAGATTTACAACTCGTGTAATTTCTATGTATTTGAGAATGTTCCCATCTCTTCATGTCCCACAACAAGCATGGTTGCTCAAAGACATCAGCATGTAAAGGTGATAAAAAGCCAAAAGTAGGGCAGAGCTGATGACAGACACCAGGGAAGATCCCCGCTGCTGAGTTAGAGTAGGCAAAGAGAGCCGGGAAGAAACCAAAAAGGAGTCAGCAGCCATGTACTAAGTCCCAACAGGTATGTCAACCGGAGTCTATGCTGTGACCTTGCTATAGTTTGGATATTTGACCCTCCAAACCTCATGTAGAAAAATGATCCCCCATATTGGATGTGGGGCTCAGTAGGAGGTGTTTGGGTCATGGGGGTGGATCCTTCATGAATGGCATGGCACTGTCCTCATGGTAGTGAGTTCTCGATCTGCTTAGTTCCTGACAGAGCTGGTTGTTAAAAATAGCCTGACACCTCCCGCCTCTCTCTCTCTCACCAAGAGATCTGCCCACTCCAGCTCCCCTTTACCTTCTGCCTTAAGTGGAAGCTCCCGGAAGCCCTCACCAGAAGCAGATGCCGGTGCCATGCTTCTTGTGCATTCTACAGAACTGTGAGCCAGACAAACCTCTTTTCTTTATAAATTACCCAGCTTTAGGTATTCCTTTATAGCAACGCAAACAGAGGACCTTCAGGCATTGTGAAAGAGGCAAAGTGCAGGAAATTGGAAGAACCAGATAACATTGCACATTCTGCAATTTGCTGTGTTTCAGGGTCTCACTGAAGTACCAATTTTGTGGATATACCAACAGAGTTCTTCATAAAGCCATATGTTGAGGCCAGTGTCTGAAAACTTGAATATTTGACCCCATTTCAAAAGCATTTGTAAGAGAATGCAGCTTAAACTTTAAGCTCATAAGGTTAACTCTAGGTTAACAACAACAACAAAAATCCAAATAAAGAGCTCTCTAGACATGATAGAGACAAAAGGCCATTCAGACTCTATTTTTACCTATAGATAAGTCAAAAGACTTCAGCACAGGACATAAACAATGGATTCAGTACATATAGGTGAAAAACAGGCTCGTCAGTATACCAGTTTACAGGTTGGAAAACTTCACATTGTTAAGACATCCATTCTCTCCAGGTTGATCTATAGATTCAATGAAATCCAAATCCAAGCATGCTCTTTTGGCCTGGGGGTAGGGGAGCAGAAATTGCCCAGCTGATTCTAAAATTAACATGAGAATGCAAAAGATCTAAAATAGTCAAATATTCATGTGGTAGGAGGCTGGAACACAAAGTTAGAGAACTTGCCCTGAACAGAAAATCTGTGGATCACTTAACAGAAAGTTTGCCATACTAAAGCCTCATCTTATACATAGACAGTCAATCAAAAGAAAGAGCCATTTTACTAATCACTCATAGCACATGCACCAAAATTAAAAAACTGTGTTTCTACTGGAACACTAGAGACACATTATTCCTCTAAGTGTGATCTGGGGACCACTCTCATCAGAATCACTTTTTAAGAGTTTCTTTTAAATGCTGACGTATGGATTTCGCCCAGACCTAATAAATCACACGCTTGGAGGTGGGTTCCAGGAATCTTCATTTTCAATATGCTTCCAGGCCGATTCGGATGTGCTCTAAAATTTGAAAACGACTTCCCTAGAACATATTAGCTTTTTTTCCCCTAAACAACAGTGGCCTTTTCCTACATTCATCTGAAGCGATGTTGGTTTAATAAGATTTTGATACCAGTAAAGAGGCAAAACTTACCTTCTCTGGTGGATGGTTAGTTATGAGAGCTGTAGCCCTTTCAGTAAATATGTTTGTAGAATACATATTCTTATATCCTGTTGCAACTTCTTCACCATCTCGAAAATCAAGAGCACATCGTGTGACGTTCAGAGCATTGATTAATGTGCAGCGCTCATGGGAATAGTAATCCTCACTACCAAGGAGATATCCTACAACAAGAATGGAAGATGAAAATAGTCAGCATAACATAAAACTTGTTCAACTAATGTTTCAGTATTTAATTGCCTAATGCAATTGATTACCCGTGACAAGACTAATCAAATGACAAGGCTAATCAGAACATCATTTCTTAACATCTCTATATTTGGTAGCAGAAGATATTAAACATTATTATATAAAATTTCTAATCCATTCCTCACTCAAGTCTTTAGAACACTGGCTCTATCATGTAACTCTCAAAATGAGTAATTCCAAGTAAATAAGTTTTAAAAAAATCAGAGTTCAAATTCAGTAAAAGTGATAACGTCTTGATCTTTTAAAGCTACATAGTGATACAAATAATATATGGTTAATGTGATTTGTTACGAGTTTTTACTCTAAGGTGATCACATCAGTGAGTGCAGAATTCTAATAATGTTTATTGTGATTGCCTTTGGGAGACTGGCTTCAAGGTTATTTATAGAAGCGGCTGTAGGAGTCATCTTTAGTCAGATGCTGACACCCACTGGTGAAAGATACAAACCTTTCCAAATAGAGGATCTCTAGATACAACAGAGACAGGAGATCAAACTAAAGTGCGGCGCTGAAATAAGATTTTTCTAACTATAATGATCTCAATTTTGCCCCAAATTTAAATGGCATCAACTGCCTATCCCACAACCTAGACTTCAACATGGAAGAAAATGGAAGAAACATCTAATAGTTGTTTCTGCAAACATCCCCTATTTTCCTGAAGTATTAAAATAAGCTGTGCTGCATGATTCCATTTATACGAACTGTCCAGGAAAGGCAAATCCACAGACACAGAACATAGATTAGAGGTTGCCTAGGGCTGGAGGGGCTGGGGGAAAACGAAGAGTGACTGCTAATGGAGATGGGTTTCTGGGGTGGTGAAAATGTTCTACAGTTGGATTGTGATGATAGTGGCACAACCCTATAATTTACTAAAAGTCATTGAATTGAACATTTTAATTGGGTGAATTGTATGGTATGTGAATGACAACTCAATAAAGCTATTAAAAAGAAATAAGCTTTGCTGCACTCTCAGCTATCTCCTGACATATACTGCTTATTAACCTTAACTTGAAGATGATAAAATTGGCCCAGCCCTTTCCCAGTCCTGAACTTTCCCTATAATGACAATTAAGAGCCTACATAGCCTATATAATACACCAATTCATTTTTAATTAAATCCTCCTTTTCCATAACACAATAAATTCAAGGTCCTGAATACAATTATTACCTTGGTCATAAGATAACGTTTTATGTGGTAATTTTTTTTATATCTGGTAATTTTTTCTCCCGCATTTATAACAGAAAGGGAAATGCAAAGTTTTTGTTAATTAGTGCGTAACAGAGAAAGAAATGTATCCTTAAAAATAATTTCAGCCCTTATATGGGTGATCAGAGCAGCCAGGACGCTGGAGTTCTATTTTAGGTTTTTAATAACTACTGGGTATTAGAGCTTGAGGAAACCACTTCAGGGTCTTTATCTGTAAATGTAAACAGTTTTCTCTCAGCTGAGAGAGTATATGCATAGGATATACTTGATTAGAAAATGTACAAACTATAAATGTTAAAAAGATATTACAAATAGGAGAATTCTAGAAATAAAACTATTATTCACGGACTTGGCCAGACTGACACCAAGCAACCATGTGACAGTCACATAGAGCTGTTCATCATAATGGTGATTCACAAACTTGAACTTTGATACTAAGTCTAAAGATGATGGCAGCCTATGCTTTTTGGAGAAAAAAATTAGAAAATATTTCTTGAACAACTACATCTCTGAATGCTTTATTAACAACCATACTGAGATCTAATTCAGATACCATACAAGGCATCCAATGAAAGTGTACAGTTCATTGGTTTTAGTGCATTCAAACCAACCATCCCACAATCATCTGACTGCTTTTTAATAGAAAATCTGAGTAATAGCAGTGACAACAGCTGCATGGTCATCATACCCTTCTTGGCTGCAAGTCTCCCTTTATATAAATGCAGGGTGCATATTCATCTAAGTCCAGGTTAGGCTTCCTAATTCTCATAAAAAGATATCATTTCTACTTTCTATACAACTAAATTTTTAAGTACATAACTTGATTTTAATAAAAAGTTCAAAATGTCTGCAGTCCACCCCCTTTCCAGAGTATATATAGACCTATCTTTTAAGCAAAGACCTGACTGAAAGTTTCTAAGGATGCACAGGCTGTTTCTAAGGATGTACAGGCTCTAGAATTTCTAAGATCACAAAGTGACCTTACACCCAAGTCTGATTTTTAACAGCTATCTGAGGAAACTGGGAATATATCCAGGCTCATCAAGAAAAAAACGCTACGATTGATTAGTGATGTCTGCCAGAGGACCTGGATGGGTGAGGGGCACATGTTCTCTCCTGTCTGATGTTCTTGCGTCTTGACTTTAACCCTACGTCCAAGGAGGCATTTCAGAGTTGTGTGCTTCAACTACATAGTTTTGGCCCCCACATAATTATTTTTACTGAATTGCACTTTGGTGCTTTGGCCCTAGCTTGAATGGAAGTAAATACCTCAAGAAACACCTACAAGAACACCACCACTTTATTACTAAAAATATATTTTTAAGGATGTTGTCCACCTTACCTTCTCCCAAAGGAGAAATTTCTCTCAGACCTAAGAGCCAAAAAATGCTTTGCTCTTCCTGAACAGCTGGTTTCCATTTATCTTGTAAATAATGTAATTCTTATAGCCTTTTCCTTTTCCTTTTATTTTTTTTTTTTTACTTTGGACATAAAAAAAATCTCAAATCTCAGACTTAAATGTGAAGGCTGCTTATAGACATGCACCCTTTTTTGTAATTTGGTGCCATTAAACTATTCCATCTTTTTCTATTCACCCTGATTTTTTTTATTCTATTTAAAGTTTTTGGGTTCAATATGTGTTCCTTTTGGGTTACAGCAGGTTGTAAATAAATGAAGAAACAGATGGGAGGTAGGTAGGTAGCTAGACAGAAAGAAAGCTCAATATAAAAAGAACTTGACAGAAAGTTATATAGCCACTGGCAAGATAAATAGGTTATTAATTAAGGCATGGTTTATAACAGGTTTAAAGAGGACACATTCTAAAACAAACTCTAGGTTTCACATTCATTTTAGAGGGCTATAAAGTTTATAAAATAATTCTCATTATATCTTATTATCCTTCCTATTACTATTTGTTATGTGCCCTTCCCATTTTATTTTAGTTTAGTTTGTGAGACAGGGTCTCGCTCTATCGCCTAGGCTGGAGTACAGTGGCACGATTGTAGTTCACCATAACCCCAAATGCCTGGGCTCAAGCAATCCTCCCACCTCAGCCTCCCTAGTAGCTGGGACTACAGTGTGCATGACACCATGCCCGGCTAATTTTTTAAATTTTTTTGTAGAGTTGAGGTCTCAATGTGTTATCCAGCCTGGCCCATTTTATTTATTTAAATCTATCTTCCTCAACGTAGGGATTTCAAAACCAGATCTCACAGATGGCAGAGGGATACCAATGGAAAAGAGTCTTTCCCCACCCTCCCCAGAGAAAAAAAAACCTTTGAATGCAGTCCACGGGGAGGGAAAAAATGTACCTAACCTTTGTGAAGGAAATATTCTTGTATTAGGTTTTGCGTGAAATTAAAAAAAAAAAATCAATCCATATCCCCTTTTGGAACTAAGGTTCTCTGAGAGTACAATGGTCTCCCATGTGGAGGTAGTAAACTCTTCCAAGGCCCTAAGGTGGCATGTAGTACTCAGGCAAAGGTAATTGCCTTGCTGTGGGTGCATGCATGCCATGAGCTGAGCACAGAGCCACGTTTATGGGGGTAACATTAGAAAGTGGCCCACTGTGGTGCCGGCTGATTCACTCTGTGTTCAAGTTTCCAGTTATTTCATTTGATTGCACTTGGGTGTGTTTTACGAGATGGCCATAGTTAGTCTGAGTTGTTAAAGAAACATGTGCATTTCCATTACCAAAGTAGGTATCAAATCCTCGGCGGGTTGGAAGGCATTCTTTCCGGTACATTCCCAGGTGCCATTTTCCGACCATATGGGTAGTATAGCCTGCTTCTTTTAGTAACTGAGGAAGGAGTTTTTCATCCAGAGGAACACAGCTGGGCTGACAGGGCCAGATTATTTCGTGCTGTAAACCTGTACGGATCTTAAAGAGATAAATATAAAAGTATGGATTAAAGACACTGAAACATTGTGAACACGCAGATAAAGTGGCTGCCTAATTTACTGGACACATCTGTTGACTTGGATGCTTTAACTCTATTCCTGCACTGGCTTAAGGATAGTTCTGAAAGGCAGAATCCTCTTAATTGGATAAGGTAATGGACATAAATGGGATTTGAAAAGATGAACAAAAGCATTCCAACAAACATTAGATATTTTCAACAAATAATCATTAAAGCAGTATGTTAGAAACCAGTAGTTGGAAGTTTTCATTTCCAACCTCAAAAAAAGTAGCAATAACCTGAGGCATGAAGCTATCAAAGAAAAAGTGTTCCAATTCCTGTATACATAAGAAGGTGGTGTTTGATTGGAAGGAGCTTCTGTAATCTTCCAACACTTAGTGATTTTTAAAAGAGGTATTTAACAGTATAATGAAACTGATGATTTGCATTTCTGATCCCACTTTATATAAACCATAATCTCAATAGATAATGATCAACTCTCCCTTTAAAAAGCAACCCTCTGACTGCTTGGGAATGGCTTACATGAGTATACCTGGAGTACAAGGTCCATACAACTAACCTTTAAGAAATGACCACTTGTTTTTCGGTGTAATGTTAAATAGAATAGCCACAGTTATATGAAAAGGCTATAAAAACATCCCTCTCTTTTCCAACTACATATCAGTGTGAGGCCAGATTTTTTTCATCGACGTTTATCAAAATAATGTATCTTAACAGATTGAATGCAGAAGCAGATGCAACAAGCTAGCTATCTTCTAGTAGCAGAAAAGATGTACCAAAAAAAATAAATAAATAAACCAATGCCACTCTTCTTACTTAACTGTTTGGTTTTGGAAAATGCAGCTATTTTTCATAAGCTATTTATGTTAATTATAATGTGTTTATTATTGCTGTTTTTCATTGAATAAGATTTTTTTTTTACAATTTCTGATTTAATTTCTGACATGGTAAAATTCTGAATGGTGTAACCAACATAAATGTATGCTCTTTGTAGTCTTCAATAAATTTTAAGCTAGTGCAGAGGTCATAAGACCAAAAAGTTTGAGAACAGAAGCTCTACTGCCTCAACAGTGATCACTGCTATGAGGAAAAATAAAGTAGGAGAGGGACAGAGTGACAGAAGTGACACTTGTGATAGAGTGGCAAAAGAATGCTTCTCTGAGGAGATATTTGAGCAGCCACCAGAACAAAACAAGGGCATAAGCCTTGCAGAAATCTGGGTAAGAGTGACCCAGGCCTACAGAATGAAATGAACAAAGGCCCCGAGACCTGAACTTGCCTGGCAAGTTCAAAAGGCCAGCACGGGTGCCAGTGTGGCCCTTGCCAGAGCTCTAGTGCTGATGGGGGTCACTACTCCCCTACTGCAACATGACAGGGAGTCCCCAGGGGCTTCTCTCCTTGCCTGCCCAACCTTACTCTTCCCTAAAACTTGACACCTCCCCGCCTTGTCCTGGCTTAGCCAGGGCGGTGCTCTTCTCTGTATGAAGTGCACCAGAGGCCAGCCTTCTCCAGCCCTGGAGCTCCTGATTTCCCCAGAATAAATGGGCTCTGGGGACACAGAAGATGAGAGTGCCAGTTCTCAACTGGGCCGTGCCTGGTGCTTCTATCAGCTGTAAGGTGGGCAGCAAGCAATTTGTTACTAATAAATGGTAAAAAATGTGTTTGCCAGTGATTTGCCTTATAATGTAACACAGCACAGCATAAAGCTCAGGGACTTAAATCCTGTTCCAGCTCTGTCACTTAATGAGCTTTGTAACCTTGGGCGGCAACTTCAGTAACTCACTAACTTCAGTAACTGTATTCATTAGGAACTGCACCTACTATTGTTTGATTTCATGATATCTTTCCACGCCCTCTCGAAGGAACCATATGGAATATCTTAAATGTTAAGTTAAAGTGGGTCTATTTTGAGAGTTATGGATAAGCTCAGTCTTAATGTGGTGATGGTTTCATGGGTATGTACCTATCAAAGCTTATCAAATTGTTTACTTAAATATGTGCCGTTTATTGTATGTCAGTCATACTCAATAAAGTTGTCTAAAAGTAAAGTGAGTTTCAGTTTTCCATTGAGACTGTTACGCCTCTGCTAGAAATTGCTGGGCACCTACACTGGGATGTGTGCCGGGTGCCTTCCACTCCCTCTCTGCCTTCTCTGTCCTGCCCTCCACCCTGCGAGGCTGACCTCTGAGGACCAAATCAAAGGACCCCTGTGCCTCTGGATTCATTCTGGACTCAGCCAGTGGGGAGCCCCGGCAGGAGATGAGTAGGAAGGAAGAGAGTGAGTGGCCTCGGGCTGCCAGGCTGCTTCAGCCTGTCCAAGTATGTCTCTACTGAAAGTCATTCTGGAGGCACCTTCTCTACCTGCCTCTTTCCTTCTAGCTTCTGGTAACCGCCCTTCCTTTCCTCCCGTATGGCCTAGGGTAGTAACAGATCCCCTGAGTTACTACACTGTCCTTTGTGCTTCCCCAACCTTCCCACGAGTTTTTTTTTTTTTTTTTATTTCAGGGTTATTATGAGAGTACAAACATTTTGGTTACATTTTATGTCTTTGCCTCTTCCTAGCCAAGGTTAGAGGCACGCCCTTCCCCTCTACAATGCTCGCCATGTCCTTTAGTTGTGACTTTACCACCCCTCAACCCCCTAATCCCTCGAGAATATTACTACCATGTGAGCACCAAAGTGTTAATCAGTCAGTACCAATTTGATGTTGAGTACAAATGGAGCCTATTCTTCCAATCTTGTGTTACCGCCCTTCAGATAATGGGCTCAAGCTCAATCCAGGAAAATATAAGAGGTGGTAGATCACTGTTGTTTCTTATAATTGAGTAATACTCCATTGTATATATATACACCAAATTTTAATAATCCACTCATGAATTGACAGGCACTTGGGTTTTAAATAGTCCCTTTCTAAATAAACCCTCCCTAAATGATCTTAATTTGAATGTGCCCTCTCTTTCCATTTGGGACCCTCAATGATAAGGCTGGGAAAGGGAAAAATTGCTCTCAACACACACACACACACACACACACACACACACACACACACACCCCAAATCAAAGAAAGATTCTTTCCATGGTTAACACTGGAAGTTTTCTCCATAGCAAACTGATCCTAGAGCTCAAAAACTTATAATGTCCAGTACGCTAATTGGTAACCAAGCAAGATAAATAAAGATAATATTTTATGGAATCCAAAAGCCCCAGTGGAGACAAACGCTATGTGCAAATTTCCTTAAATGGGAAGCTCATCCATCACACGCGGAGAATTAACTCTGATCGCCGAGAAGCACTGCCAAGGGACGCGCTGTGAGTTGGTTTTGCGAAGCCACAGGCACCAGGCCAGGTGGTCAGCTGAAGCCTGCTTCCATTATCCGCACTCATATGGAGCAGGGAATTTGTTCTTTTCAGTTCCTGAGAATTTATTTGACAGAGCATTTTTATGGCATTATTGGGAAGCGGAAGCCAAACTCTGGATGACAGCCAAAAACATGTTTTTGGTCTGTTCAAACACTATTTGAAGTAAGGAAGCTGTAATGTGTAGAGAAGCAGTAAACAGACAAATGTCAAGCTGGTTCCAGCCCAGCCCTTCAGCATAGCGCAGAATGATAGAGCCGCGCCATGCCCTGTGGGGCCAGACAGTGACAGGGCACAAATAGGAGTCAAAAGAAATAATGGGGGTACCCTTGCAAACAAAACAGGATCTAAAACATATTCTATCCTAACACCCATCTTCCATGTGCAGAGAGTATATGTGAATGCAGAAAGCCCTGTGTGTATTAATAATATGTGAAAGTCCAAAGGAGTTGCCTCCCCATCTGCCATGTGTGACTATCTCTTCTTCATTAAATGAAATCCTCTCTCAAAAACCGGCTTCTCCTAAGATCTTACTTGGCCATCAATGAACCGCAAACCTAGTGGAGATCTGGCTTGTTTCCATGTTCATTCCATGAAATCACTGGTGAGAGATCTTTGTTTACATGTTAGTTGCATGTAACAATGTCTTTGGTCCAGTGAGTTATTCTGTCCTCTGCAGACTCAGGAAACACCAGCAGTGTAGTCTCATGAGCTCACTGAGAAAAACCAGCCTCCTGCTGGGGGAGAGGAAGACAGTAGGTAGCACCCACATCAGAACCTCTTATGATCTCCCACTCAGAGATCCAGGCAGTCTATCGATTAATTATCCATTGGTGAGCTCAGAGTACAATATTTCAGCTATACTCGTAATAAACTCTCCCAGGGTCTAAGTGAACCACTGCTACACAGGAGGCAATGAATGCAATTTAACCTCAACAGTACTGACAAATATCTAGTGGAACACAAGGGAGAGTCTGTTCCAGGGGTCCTCAAACTTTGTAAACAGGGGGCCAGTTCACTGTCCCTCAGACCATTGGAGGGCCGGACTATAGTTAAAAAAAAACTATGAACACTGCACATATCTCCTATGTGCAGCAAAATTCCTATGTACAGTGCACATATCTTATTTTGAAGTAAAAAAACAAACGGGCAAAAATACCCGCATGTGGCCCACGGGCCATAGTTTGAGGATGCCTGCAGGGTTTGTTCGGTCAATCTGACTTACATGAGAAGAACTCATATTCTCATTGCACTCATATGTGTGCAAAACCTCCTGCTACAGTGCTTGAAAATTCAGAAAAATGAGCAGCTCTTCCCCTCCATCTTACACATCAGAGAGCCTAGCAGGAAGCTGCAGGACCAGAACACAATCATGGGACATGCTGGTGGCCAAGCGGGAGTTCAGAATTTCCAGCCTGTGCCTTGGCCGGCACATGGCAGGTTTTAACCACAGTCGAGTACCACTCGTGCCACCTCAGGGTTTATTCCTGGAGATGCCCCACAGAACAAATGGATGGTGGAAAATCTGCTCCCTTCCCCCGGAAGTCTTCTAAAAAGCAGTCAGCTGCCCATGCTGCTGAAGCCAAGAGCTACAGAACACACATTATGTGTGTTAGGGGCCTGGCTCTGCCATCTGGCCTGGCCCTTCAGGACTCAGGCTGCAGAACTGGCCCAT